GGAGGAGAAGGAGGAGGAAGAGGAGAAGGAGGAGGAAGAGGAGGAGGGGGGAAGGAAGAGAAGGAGGAGGGGAGGAGGAGGAGCAGCAGGAGGAAGAGGAGGAGGAGGGGAGGTGGAGGAACAGCAGGAGGAGGAGAAGGAGGAGGAGGAGCAGAAGGAGAAGGAGGAGGAGTTCTCTGCAGAGCACCAGCAAGACCCTCCGCATGGGCATTCTCAAGTAGTTGCTGGTTTTCCCCTTTTTTTCTCAAGGGATTAAAAATGTAAGATCCGAAATTTTGCTGGAATAGTCCTTGGTGGCTCTTCAAATTGTCTGACTTCTCTATTTGTGGGTTGCTACTTTAAATCGGCACAAACTGCAGTCATATTTTTCAACATTTTAGATGAGAAATGATGGTATTTATAAATCTGGAGGTGTATGAAGGCTGGGCACACAGCACTCATGCCCGCTGGAAGGAAACTTTATCATCAAAAGCTAGTTAAAATAAATAGGTAAAGAAAAGCTGAGCTGAGGGTGTTAGCACACGCCTGCAATTCCAGCATTAGGGAGGCTGAGGCAGAAGGATCGCTGCATGTTGGAGGCCAGCCTGGGCTAGACAGTGAGACCAAGTCTCAAAAAAAAAAAAAAAAAAAAAAAAAAGAAAAGAAAAAAGAAAAGAAAAAAAAAAAGAAAGAAAAACAAATAATAGCGAAAAACTATCTCATTGGTATCATCTAGAAGTCTTTTTATATAAACTCATTCAAAAGACAGAGAGCAGCCAGCGCACTGGTACACACTTGTCACCCCAGCACTCGGGAGGCTGAGACAGGGGATTGGCACGAGTTCGAGGCCAGCCTGGGCTACCTAGGGAGAAGGTCGCAAAAGGCAAAGCAGAAGCAAAGCAAGACAAAGCCGTCCATCCTCGTGGAGCGGCCGCCGTGAAGTCCCCTCCTGCGGCCGCTCACCCTGCCGACCGCACTCACCTTGAATCGTCCTCTTGAAGAAGGCCTTGCAGGCCTCGCAGGAGGCCACGCCGTAGTGGTAGCCCGACGCGATGTCCCCGCACACCAGGCACAGTCTCTTGGGCATGGAGTTGAGCATGTACTCGCACTTGGTCTGCGGGTCCTCCACGATGCTACTCGAACAATCCTCGTAGAGCTTCCGCACCGGCCCGCCGCCGCCCAGGAGTGGCGCCGACGGGTAGAGGGGCGGCGAGTCCAGCCCGTTCTGGTGGCCGTTCATGGTGGAGCTGTAGCTCCCGCTGGCGTCCGAGGAGCCGCCCGGGCTGTGGTGGTTGACGCTGTCCGTCAGGGAGGCCGGGCTGGAGGGTTCCGTCTTGATGAAGGAGGAGCAGCTGGAGTCAAGGTGCCGGTCTTTGTTGGACATTCTGCAGAGAAGCCTGCAGCGAGGGTGGCAGAGAGGACAGAGGTCAGGTGCGGCAGCCAGAGAGGCACTGGGCCATGGGGAGATGGGGAGGGAAGAGGGGGAGGAGAGAGGAAGGGAAGGAGGGGGAGGGGCGGAGGAGGGGCGGGGGAGAGGGAGGAGGGGGACAGAGTCTCACTGTATAGCCCAGGCTGGCCTTGAGCCCTTGGTGAGCCTCCTGCCTCCGCCTACCAGGTGCTGGCATTGCAGATGTGCCCACTAGGATGGCTTCAGAAAATTAAAGACATTGCTCCTCAACAGCACTTTCTAGGGGCTGGGGCCTGTACCTCCTTCCTCCTACAGTCAACGCCCTTGCTTTTGGAGAAGGAAATCAGCACAAGACCTGACGGGGCCTTTCCGGAAAGGGAACCAGCACCTGGGGTCCAGATCCACCCGAGGAGGTGGTGGCCTGCGAAGCCAGCTCCTTTCTAAACCCCTCACTCCCTGCCATCTGGCTGAACGTGGAGGGGCTGATCTGCAGCCCTGTCCCAAGCGCTCTGCTGCTGGCCCTGAGCCTTGACCAGGCTTGGAACAGGAAAGCCGAGTCGGCATCCAGGATGGCTTTCTGGAGCCCAGGCAGCTAGCAGAGTATGCACCTGCGCCAGTGAACTAAAGTGTGTGTGTGTGTGTGTGTGCGTGCGTTTGTGTGTGTCCATGTGCATGCCTGTGTGCTTCTTTGTGTGTCCATGTATGCCTGTGTGCACAAGTATGTGCATGCATGCCTGTGTGCACGTGTGTGCATGCATGTCTGTATGAACATGTGTGTCCATGCTTGCCTATGTGCTTGTGTTTGCGTGTGCATGCATGCCTGTGAGCACATGTCTGTGTCCATGCAATGCAGTGTGCTTGTTTGTGTGTATGCATGCCTGTGAGCACATGTGTGCATGCATGCCTGTGTGCACGTGTGTGCATGCATGTCTGTGTGCACATGTGTCCATGCATGCCTGTGTGCTTGTGCTTGTGTGTATGCATGCCTGTGTGCACATGTGCATGCATGCCTTGTGCACATGTGTGTGCATGCATGCCTGTGTGCATGTGTCCATGCATGCCTGTGTGCTTGTGTTTGTGTATGCATGCATGTGTGCATATGTGTGTGCGTGCATGTCTCTGTGCACATGTGTGTCCATGCATGCCTGTGTGCTTCTTTGTGTGTGCATGCATGCCTGTGTGCACATGTGTGTCCATGCATGCCTGTGTGCTTCTTTGTGTGTGCATGCATGCCTGTGTGTGTCCATGTGCATGCTTGTGTGCTTGTGTTTGTGTGTCCATGCATGCAT